ATTTTGTGCCTTGGCCCTTTAAGAGGTTGCCTGTGTCTCCCACAGACTCCCAGACTCAGTCTCTCCCGGGTGGACAGAAACCCTGCTGCTTGTCACAGCCGGGTGTTGGGTGGACGCCTCCACAGGCTCTCGTGCTCTGGGCTGGGGAACCTGGCTTGGGGTTCAGCCCCAGGCCTCTCTGGAACCTCATCCACCACCTGTGGGAGCAGAGCCGGTCCTCTTGGCATCATCACCCTTCCTACCCATCTCGATGCGGCCGCTTCTGTAAATCCACGGTACAGGCTGCTCCTCAGCTCGTCTTCAGTAGGTTCTTCAGGATGATTGTTCCTTATTTTAGTTGTCATTCCAGTTTGGTCCTGAAAGGAGGTGAGTGTAGCTTCCACCTACTCTGCTGCCATCTTGAGGCTCCCTTCTCCGAATCACTTTTAAATTCAGAGTTGTTGATATTTGGGTTTTATGCCCAATACTGCTCTCTGTTTGATCAGGAGAGTTGGTGATACAGAATTTCTTAAACGAGAGTTCCCCACCATTATCCCTCGGGTTTCACTCCTATCCACTTACACCCATATGCAGGCAAGACTAAATGTTGTCATTGACACCGTGGCCAGTGGTGATTGGCATATGCATCCCAATATTGCATCCAAATTTCAACAGAATATGAAAAAATGTGCATTTGCTATTTGGCAATATGTGAGTGAATTGTCCTGAGAAACCCGATATGGAAATGTGGCTGAAGTCACGGAAGGCAACAGAGAGGAGCTATTTTATGAAGGCTCTGGCCGATGAAGGTCCTGCCAGCCACATAGGCGAGGGGAGGAAGAGCTCTCACCTGGACATAGCCATCACAGACGGGGCCAGGTAGGTCTGGGGGGGCGGGGGGCGGGGACTCAGAGTTGAGCCAGGCCTCTGCTGCTTGTGGTAGGAAACAGATTTACTCGTAAAGAAGTGGGCAGTCGAGGGCTCACACTTAAAAACTGAAACTCCATTCTCGTGGCCAAGAACCTCTCAAGTATTTTATGGAGCAGAGGACAGAACCTTCCTCTTCAAAGAGCTCTTGGCAGCCACCTGGAGAATGGACTGGGTGGGGGAACTCCTACGTGCAAGCCTGCTGTGCCCTTCCTGGGGGAACAGGTGTGACAAGTGCCACCCAGGAAGTGCCTGGGCTGTGGCAGGAGGTGGAGGCAGGGCTGACAGGTGTGAGCTAAGGGAAGGAGGAATCCACTTGACAAGAATATGGGCTAGAAAGACAATTGCTTCTCCTTTGTGTTTTATTCATGGGAAGGTGAGCAAGAATATGGAAGTTGGACACCTGGCCCACAGAGTCCAATACCTGTGTTCAGCTCCGGCTGCTTTGTAGTCTGGGGGCTCAGCCTCCTCGATTCAGAGGCTGGAGTAAGTGCAGAAACGTTCACCCAGTTTTTAATAAAACACACAGGCTCTCACAGTGCAAAGGATGTGTGACCCCAAAACCCACTGGGTTCATTATTTTCGACCTTTGTCTTCCTTTATTCAAACTCAGACATTAGGAATGAGGTTTATTAAAAAAGACTGCATTTGTATCGTCTTGCACAGACACATGGAAATATACCATAAAATTAAAATTAGCCCCAAGCAGAAGTTTAACGAAAGTATCTAACCTGATAGTTGGGAAGAGGGTGCTAAAGTCAGCAGTTTTCTTCCTGAAACTTCATTTTGTTTTTGATAGCACTGCTCAAAAACCACTTTCATCGTTTGAGACTTTGATTCGAACGATTGTTCCTGCCCAGGATCTTGCCCCATATAGAGCACCCAGAGTGACCCCACATCAGAGCTGTGTTGTGGTCACCATGTTATGAATGAGCAGGAGACCGAGTTGTCTCTTCTGGCCCTGAGGGCGCTTAGTGATGGTAGAGCACACTCGAAGCATTTTGAGCCGCTTGAACTTCTAACGACTGGTGTGTTTAGAAACAGCTGAGCTCAGCATAGGAGTGTCCTTGTAAACACAGGGAAATCCAAAGCTCCCACCTGGAATGCTTTCTCCCCCGATTCCTCCTTGTGACGGCTCCACTCAGAACACCAGAGTCCAGAGAAGGGCCAAACAATTACTGGAAACAGATCTCTACCAATGAGAAATGTTCAAGAACAACTTTGTCTTTATCTTGAACAAATTATTAGTGGAGACATTCAAAGAAGTGACTAGAAACTACTGTCACAGAAACTAAACTTTAAACTTTATTATTTTTTTTAAAAAGTCTTTAATTTGCCCTCAAATGTCATAACAAATCCATTATTGTGGATCTATAATCTCTCCTCCCCCCTTTTCTGGAAAAGGCAAGAACATTCTTTACATTAAATGGAATTATTTATTTTTTAAATTTTATTTTTCAGTTACAGTCTACATTCAATGCTGTTTTGTTTTAGTGTCAGGGTACAGCCTGTGGTTAGATAATCACACACTTTACAACGTGTTCTCCCTGGCAGTCCCGGCGCCATACTTACTAAAATGCTATTGACTATATTCGTTATGCTGTGCTTCACGTCCACATGACTTTTCCTGTTAATCCTCACCCGAGGATATTTGTTCTGTTGGTTTTTAGAGAGAGTGGGAGGGAGAGAGAGAGGAGAGAGACAGGCATCGATTGGTTGCCTCCCGCACCAGAGCCGCACAGGTGCCTGGGATGGAACCTGCAGCCCTTCGGTGTGCGGGCAATGCTCTAACCACTGAGAACACCAGCCAAGGCCCAGTGACTATTGTTTAACAACCAATTTTGTATTCTTAATCCCTTCACCTTCCTCCCTCTCCCCCAACCCCCTCCCCTCTGGCTACCATCAGTCTGTTCTCTGTATCTATGAGTCTGCTTCAATTTTGGTTTTTTGTTCTGTTCTTTAGATTCCACAGATAGTGAAATCATATGGTATTTTTCTTACTCTAACTTATTTCAGTTAGAATAATATTCTAGATCTATACATGGCTGAGTAATAGTCCATTGTACATGTGTACCAAACTTTTTCATTCACCTGAGTTGCTTCCGTATCTTGGCTATTGTAAATAATGCAATAAACACAGGGGTGCATATATTCTTTCAAATTAGTGTTTGGGCGGGAAGAAAATTCTTAATTACTGGTTAATATATTACAAAAATGTAGGCTTAGCATCTTTTTCAAGCTCGATCCCAAAATGTTAAAGGGCATTCTAACAGTTTTCTTAAATAGCATTTCCTTGTAAGCTCAACTTCATCTTAGCAAAAATACATTTACTCTGATATCTGAATGTACTGATCATCTCACTGAGTTGTTTTTGAGAATATGGTTCTTCCACATAAATTTTTCATTTCCTAATTAATTGGAGAAGGCTTTATAGTGTTTTTAGGGCTTCCTACATAAACAGAACTAAGAAATTTGTCCTAGGCCGTTTCCTGGGTGGGCATGAACCCGCATTATATGTATTCATGGTCTCTACCCTTCATAGGCAATTAATGCATCACACCAACATTGTGTGCCCCTCTGAGTAACTCTAAAGCAATATGTTTGTTCTTCTAGAAACCCTATCCAACACCCCACAGTGTCACTGGAATTCACCTCTGGGATGAACGCAGGAGCTCGGGCAGCAGTGAGTGCGCCACTTGGTGTTCGGACCACCGTCTGGTGAGAGGGAAGCCTGAGCCCAGAACAGGTGTGCGATGGAGCCCAGGTCTGAGCGGGGCAGTGATTTAAGAAAAGGAATCGACAAAAACTCCTGCCCCCAACTGCAGGAACTCGGCAAACAAAGACAATCCACCCCGTCTTCTCTGGCATTGGCCAATGTGAAGAGCTCCGGACTCGCCACGCCGCCAGATACCAGTGCGACCCTTCCCTCTGCTCAGGACCAGCCGCTTCGGATTCAAAGAACGTCTCTGACCCCGAACAGAGAGACGCTGAAACAAAATCAGGGCTGAAGG